GCCATAATTGTTCACACTTTTTGTCGAAATTTGACCTATACCGTATATCCTCTTTGAAATCTATGAATTCGTGATCAAGGCATTCATCTTGGATAGCAATCTCCTGCAAGGGCCCTGTTCTGGCATTCAGATCACCTAACAGCATTATATTACCTTGGCTTGAGAATTTGCAGATGTCATCTTGTAGAATGTCAAAAAGTGAGTTGTTTCTTTTATCGAGGGAAGACGAATTTTCAGGAGAAAAGTATACGCAACCTAAGAATAAATCCCGATCTAGACCGAAGAAAGTTTTGTCTAATTTACACCATAAGAAATCGGGGTGTTCCGTAGGAAGTTTTGTGAGGCCCTTCATCAGTCTGTTACGGAACATAATGATTACCCCACCGGAGTTCCTTTTCGCAGACTTTTTAGCGTTCCTGTCACTTCTTATATAACTAAAGGAGTCTAATCTAAAGTTTTCCTTAGGATTTAGCCATGACTCTTGCAAACATACAAAATCATAATCTTCTAAACATCTAACAAAATCATCGTTCTGGCATTTTCTCCTAAGGCCGCCCTGAACGTTCCATGAACAGAACCTCAGAGCTACCTTTTGAGCTGACATAATTGAAATCGAACGAGTAAAAGGGTGGTACTAAAGTATTCCAGTAATAAGAGCAAAGCTACATTGTGCGCAGAGTGAAATAATACAAATTAGCGTGAATAGGGATGACTGTATTACAAGTGGGTATGCTCACTCATATTACATGTATATATGCCTTTACCTATTCGTACCATCAGATTATACTAGTATTTGGTAAATGTCACTTATGTAGTTAGAAAGAAGTAAAATGGAAAAGGGAGAACAGAATTTGTCACCTGAGCGAACACTTGGGTGTTACGGACTTTCATCATCGTAGCGTGTCTCTTGAGCCTAATGTCTGAGAAAGTCAGTCAGCATGTTAATCAACGTCTCCACAGTTTGACGCTTGTCCTGCTGGTGTGCTCTTGTCCCAGGCGGCCCTGACTGTCGAATCCACTGCGGAGGTGGAGGGGGTGCCTGGTTCCACGTAGGAAGTAGTCGTTGCTCGGGTTTCCTTGAAGGGTTCCACCGGAGACTTGGTGGATGACGTCGCTCGGGCTGCGTCTGCTGTGCGCTGGTCGACGTGGGCAGTTTCCCGCTTGAGTTCCTGTGCTGTGGAATTGGGTTCCTGTCCTGGTTTCTTGTTGTGGCCAGCTGTTGGTGACGCAGGGTGCGTTTTACGTCGGCAACCATCAGCCTGACGCCTGTGTCAGGTTTGATGTGGATGGCGTCTGCTTTGTACATGGATCTATCTTCTGACAAGAGCCTGTGCCTTACGTATGTAAGCTTCTCGTCCTGTACACATGCCCTTTCAATGACGTCATTGTATGAAGCTATGTTCCTGTTCAGATGGGAGTTCATGTTCATTCCTCTAGGTAGGACCTGAGACATAGTGATTCTAGCATTTGGGAAGGATCTTTTTGCCGAATCGATCACTTTGAATGTCTGTTCCACACATATGTCCTTGCTGTCGGGCCGAGCTTTCGTATTGTCCAGATCGTTAGATCCTACATGGATGATAACAAGCTCGGTCCCGGTGTCCTGTGTCGTCTCGATCTTGTCAGCAGCTTTGGGAAGTGTTGTCGTTTTGATGATGTTTACGCTTTTGTGTTTGTACATTTTCTTGGGATCAACATCGTTCCACAAGGAGTCTGCAAAGATTCGGACTTGAGCTGTCGCATTCATGTCCTTTTGTGTTGGAGTTGGCGCGGATGTGTTACCGTCAGTTTCGGTGGAAGTGGGAGCAGAAGTCTGGGTGTCTTGTGTTGTTGGTTCAGCTTGTACATCGTGGCTGATTGCGCTGTCTACTGAGTCTTGGGCACCAGCGACAATCTCAGAGTATAGACGATGTATTCTAGAGTCGTCACTTTTTGCTTTGTTCTGTACTGGTTTCGTAGTTATGGTGGATGATTGAGCTTGGTTTGCCAAAATCAAAACTTGAGCTTGTAATGCTTCCTGTGCTGTTTGCTGTGTGGCTAGTGCGTCTTCCAAGTTCTTTGCGATTTCGCGTTGACGCTGGAGTTCGGCATTTAAATCTTCAATTTGTTGTGCTTGTTTTTCAACTTGTTGAGCTTGTTTGTCAATCACTTTTCTTTTGTTTTGAAGATTAGCTTGGAGGTTTGTTTGTTTGCGCCTTTATTTATTGATGAAAATACACAATTCGGCCAACAGGCCGCTTTTCATTGTGGTCATCATGCAGGGGAGAGGTTCAAGGGTCAACAAATTACTACAAAGCACATAATGCATACATCAGACTTGGATACATGATTCTGAGTCTTAATAAATCTAAACAAATATTCATCATAACGTGGTACAGCTTATATACATACATAATTAAGTAAATACATAGACGTCAAAGCAGGTAAGTAGTTCTTGTCCGTCCGTTTTTCATTCCTGGTTTCTACCTCTTTAAGAGTCTCTTAAAGGAAGCGAGGGTTGGGGCCGTGCGTATGTCCACTGGAAGACTGTTCCAGGCAGTGGGTCCGCGGTAGGCTAGGGATCTTCTAAAGCTCTCTAGATGAGGTTTAGGAACAACTAGTTTATTGCTTGTGCTTTGTCTAGTTGACCTTGTGCTTTGCTCGCTACAGTAAGCAAACATCTGGCGCATGTAGTGTGGAAGTTTGTTGTTAATGGCTTTGTAGACGAGCATGATTTCGTAGTGTTTATGCGTTGCTTTAATGTCTTTCCAGCCCAGCCGGGTAAGCACTTCGATTGATGGTGTCCTGTAAGGCGCCTTCAGTATCAGTTTTCCTGCCCGATTCTGCATTCGTTGTATCTTCTGCAGATCTTGATCTGGAGCAGTGTCCCATGCTGTGCAGGCATATGTTATGTGTGGCAGGAAAATGGCGTTATACAAAGTGCAAAGAGCTGACGTTGAGATGAAGGGGCTGACGTGTTTCATCATAAAAGAAGAACGCCTCAATTTCCCTAGTACAGCTTTCACCTGGTCCTTCCAGTTTAGTTGACGGTCGATAACCACACCTAAGTAGGTGTATTTATCACATGTTTTAATGTTGACACCATTGACAGTAAGTCTGGGAGGGTTACAGTTTGTCAGTCTCTTGTTCGTTCCTATGTACATACATTTACATTTGCCACCGTTCATTGATAGCGAGTTTGCGGCAAACCACTTTGACAGCCTTTGTAGGTCGTTCTGAAGTACCTGCTCAATGTTTGTGGAGTTTTTATGACTAAAGTAAATTACAGTATCATCTGCGTACATTGAAATATCGCAGGACTGTAGACATTCAGGCATATCATTGACATATAGCAGGAAAAGAAGGGGCCCCAATATCGATCCTTGGGGCACCCCATATTTTACTTGGTGAAAGGTCATTGATCTGTTTCCCTTGTTTGTCCATAGTAGTTTTGTTGTTAAAGACTAGCTCCTTCAAACCATTCAGCTCGTCAACCAGTGTCGTGAACATATTCTCTGCATCGGTGTTTGGGAGCTGTGTGCCAGATGATTGCTCTTTAGAATTAGAGAGATCAGTCTTCAATGCGCGCCGTGTTCGTGGGTTTGAGAGTTGCGGTTTTCCCTCTTTGCCCTTGAGTTTACCTGTAGACTCCCGCATCTTCGTGAATGGCGTTAAAATAATGTTCTCGAGGCCACCTAGTACTTTACGGATAGATGGGGAAGTGACTGATTTTGGAGTTGTGTTCTCTGCTTGACTGTTCTCACAGGTGAGATCTACGACAGACTTTGGGATTGTTGTCTGATCTGAGTCACTGTCAGACACTGTCAGTGTCATGGCGGACACTTCACACTGATCAGGGAAGGTCTCCATTGTCTTTGCGTTGTCTTCTATTGTTTCTTCCCCCTCGTCTTCTAGTTCTTCATTAACATATCCGCCATCTTGTGCAAGTGACGCGTCGGTAAGACAATCAACTTCTTTCTTGACTTTGGGGAAGATATTTGTGGCAAACCAGGATGATCCTTTCCCGTGGATTAGGATCGTACCGGTATGATAGAAGTGAATAGTCAGAACTTTGGCATTGTCCCCTGATCGAGCCGGATCAGTTACTGACAGTTGTGTGTGGTTGCCCTTCTTCCAGGTGAACTTGTACCCCGTGTCCTTTTCCAGTGACTGATCAAAATGGACTCTGCTAGCCTCAATCCACACGGGGACTCGTTCTGAGGTTGTACGGAACTTGAGGTTACATACCTTTGTTTTACTGGAGTCTGTGTGATCTTCCGTAACTTGTTCAAAATCCAGGATATCCTTCGCCGGCGTGTTCCACGGCTTGGTTTTGCCCGACCTTGTCCGGTATCTCTTTGTCTGTAGCTCCGGCTTGGGTGACCCGCAATCACCATCGATTTTCTCCCGATCCATGATGAAAATGCACGTTTGAATGTCCGAAAAGTTGAGTAACGTAAATAGGCTATGAACTGATGTCAAAATTAACTGTATATATCACTCTGCGACACAAGCAACCGCTCTTAGATTGATTTACAGACGGAGCTCATGTGACGCGCGTCCAGTGTTGTCCGCCATCTTGGTATATATCAATAGTATCTAGATATACTGCAAGAATATAATGGAGAAGTTACTAGTGTATAGATATACCGCAACAATGGAGAGGTTACTGGTATATACTTATGTTACCGCAAGAAAAGAGGAGGAGCTACTAGTATGTTGACATAATGTAAAAATAGAGGAGGAGTGTATTGTAATTATTTCTGTTTAACATATGTACTATAGATTATTGAGAGCGTTCTAAAATCACCAAATGTATTCCTCTCGTTAATTTTGAATCCAAAGCAAAAATAATCTACTTTTTGTTACCTCTCGTAGGTCGACCTTATTGGCCAATTGTCTATTTTTAAGCTCGTAGCAATTTACCAGATGGTTATGTAAAATTTTGATTTCTAGAATAAGTGACACTAAACAGTAGAACCCTGTTACAGCAAGTACTATGGAGGAAGTGAAAAATAAGTTTATTAATAAAGGACGACTTTCCATAAAAATGGAATGAAGTTAAACATTTTTAATAATACAGTTAAAAAACTGTATTATTGACTATTTTGACCGTATTTGAACATTTAGCTCGTCTTTTCGAGTTACGTCTTTTCTTTGTGATGTATGTAGAATTTCGAGATAAAATTCTTGTCCGCAATCTTTTCCCCACCACGGAAAACATAGATTTTTACTCTTGCAAATAGGTTTCACTTCCTACATGTACTACTCTGCAGTTTTCTTATCAGGACCATTTTCTCTCTCAACCCACCAGAAGGTTTTTTTTTTGTACCGACAGCAGATCATTGCCTCTCTCAATCCTTTTATCGCTCAAGCTTGTCCTGCCTTATGGGAGAGTTTTGTGTGATGCTAGTCTAAGACAAGTTAGAATTGCTTGTCAAATGGCGTGTCGTCACTGTAGCCCCATTCAATATAATTTTCAAATAAGATGCCAGCTTTCCATTGGATGTTGACCAAGATTTATCTAACCTTCTGCATATGTTCATTTAAAAGATTTCTAATGATTTGATATTTCTAAAATAGTTTGTAATTTCTTTAGCATTGAACCACGAAACTCACATGTTAAGACCTGTACTTCGATGAAGGTTAGACATCCAGGTAATACGATACGCCAGAAAACAGTTACTCATCGGACAAGCAACTGGATATGATTTTGAAAACGTCAGACGTTTCAGCTAGTATCCACTAGCTTTCGTCAGTGACTGAGAGACCAGAGGGGAAAGCAGGTTTATAAGTACAACTTGTTGATTGATTGACCTTGCCGACCTAGTGCCAACGGCTACTCCTCAGCTATTTTCCACCACCTACAACACAACCAGGGTCACTCTTTCAAACTCGAGTCCACGGATATCTTAGACCGCGAAACACGCTGGTGGGAACGGGGTGTTAAAGAGGCAATATATGAAAGAATGTACAACCCCACCCTCAACAGGGAAGGGGGGCTACGAGTCGATCTTTCCGGCACATGGGATTTGGCACTCACAGCCCCGAGGACAGACAACACTTTAAGCTCCTGTTCTGTATAACAGGAGCTTTCAGACTAATTTGCATAATTTTGTCTTGACTTGTCTGACTTTTGTTCCTTTTTCGACTTCCAAAAAAAAGTTGTCTTCACTGTATTTGCATATCAATCTTGTATGTACTTATCAATCATATATGTACTTATAAACCTGCTTTCCCCTCTGGTCTCTCAGTCACTGACGAAAGTTAGTGGATACTAGCTGAAACGTCTGACGTTTTCAAAATCATATCCAGTTGCTTGAGTAACTGTTTTTTGGCGTAAGACCTGTACTCTTTCTAGATGACGTCTTTAGTCCGGGACCTTTACTACGAATCTAAACCAACGTTTCCTTTTGTTTGAAAAACGAACGTCCCTTTCAACCTCACTGCTGTCAACACCGCTAACTAATTTATAAGACCTGCTTATGAGCATGCATGTATGTGTTGTAACATCGCACCTCGGCATAGTCACGAAATAGAGAATAAGATGCACAGCTGGCACCAAAGGAACAGCCTCTAATTTAGGAGATCAGAAAGGAAGGCCATACTTCATAAGGGAGGAAGGAAAGAAGATGTAGACTGCTGAAGGAAAAATAGATTTGACATAAGCCAAATAGTTGCAAATAGAGTCCATATCTAAAATGCTGTAAGAGAGGTAAAAACTAGATAGTTTCCAATAAAGAATAAGCTAAGAACGTGTGAAAAGAGAGTCACGCCGAGTTGTCTTCCATGTCCATCAGTTTCTTGGCCAGATCTTCACAACTCCAGCCTGCAGTATAGAGAAGAAACAACAATAGTGGTCTAAGAATGGATAATTTAAGAGCGGTAGCATTGCCAACAACCCAAAACTTTTATGAACTACTCTGCGGTGGCTCTTGACATTGCCGTCTGCTGTATCCTACTGATGATATGTGCTTCAACAACGCATAAACATGATTCAAAACTTGTACACTAAATACATTGGTTTATTGGACATTTCCAAATCTACTTGAAAATCATGAACATTACAAAAATGTGTATCATCAACAGGCAAGGCTTGAAGCAACTATTTAACCGTGCTTCTACCGACCCCCACTCACCAGTTATTCCTTGTAGTCCTACATCCCATTTTCCATGGTTTCCTCCAGGAACTCTGGGAAACAAAAGACGTACGATATACTTTAACTTTTATCACTGAGCACAATACCTACAAGGAAGGTTTCAA